AAAAAAAAGAAATCAAATAAGAAAAAAAATTAATATGTACCCTCACCAACAAAAACACAAATAATCCAATTAAAAATATGAACAAAGGACATGAACAAATACTTCACCAAAGAAAACACCAAGTAGCTAACAATCATAAGAAGAAATGTTCACAATCATTAGCCATTAGAAAGGTGAAAATCAAAATGAGTTATTATTTCACCTCTGCATTAATAGCTAAGTTTTAAAAAAAAGGAAGGAACACCCAGAAAACCACCAAGGATTTAGTCTTGAGCCTTACTGGGGCAGTAAATTATTTTATTTTTAGTAAATTATTTAACTTGGCTTTTCTACCTAAAGTCTCCAACTCTCACTTAATGGCCTTTTCCTGTCTGGGTCTGGTAAGAAGGTGGGGGAGATACTGATAGGATTCCCCTGAGCCTTTTAGAATGGGATTCCCTGGAGTGCCCCCTGCAGCTGCATACAATGAGTCCTCTAAGAAGCAGGAGGGGAGATCACACTATGAGCAGAGCTAGCAAAACACATCCTGCAGACCTGAGACCCCTGTGCAGTGAGGATCCTAGATCCAGGTGACAGCTGCACCATCAGAGGGCCGCAGCAGAACCGGAAGCCAGAGCACAGGGCAGAGTGATGGACTTCCCAAGCCGTGGAGCAAGTGAAGATGAAGTGCGCCTCTAGACATGGAACTGAGGAGCCAGGGCTTGCTAACCCACAGAGCTTGCCCTGAAAGACTTCATGTTGAGGCTGCCCCTTTGGGCTTTTATTAGCAGACCTGAAACTTTGTACCAGGGCCTGGTAAACAACTCCCCTGAACATTTCTCATGGGCATTACAACTTGTTAACTTCCTTAATATACCCTTCAATCACGAATTTTATGTGTGAGTTTCTGCGTAGCTATTACAATATTAGAACCTATAGATCGAGTAGAGAAGATAAAGTAGAGACTATTAGTTCAGACAACACAAGCCCTCACACACTGCTGGTGGAACTAAAAATTGGACAGCCACTGAGCCATGGTATGATGCTTCCTTACAAAGCTGGAAATATCTAAATGAGGATTCAACTAAGTCCACATGGAAGAAGCACACTAGCCTGTATGATTCAAAGATGACAATTACAAAATTCTAATTTGGCGAAGGGAAAAGTATCAGAGCTAAAATTATGAATACTCAATTTGTAGAAGGCTATGGAAGACAGTGGGCGCCCACAACCCACCTGCATAGTATCTAGTCAGACTGAGCTGCTGGCAGATCCACTCTAGCCACAGGCAAGAATCTCAAACAGCCTTGTATCAGGCAGAGATCACTGTAATCCTGAATACGATGGATCAAACTTGATACTTGGCCAGTTGACCTCCCTATAGACCTGACCAGAATTTGTTCTGGGTACGAGTATCTCTTACTTGTTCCATGACAGAAATCTCTTCCCTGGCTTTTTGAATGCTGATGTGGGTCTTTTCTTTCTTAGTCATTCTTTGCAGTTTGGTCTTTATATTATTTTATCCTTACCACCTATTTTGATTTTGTTTTTTATTGTTTCTGCTGGGTTTCCCAGTTTGTGATACACAAGAGGAGGGGATGCACAGTGATAAAAACTGCTACAGGGGTTGATAGGGGATGCAGCGGTGGGTGATAGGAGGGAAGGGGGATTTCAAGAATAAACAATGAAGGCAGGATGGGGGAGGGAGCACTAGAATGGACTGATTGCACAACTTATTTTAAGGGTAGGAATGTTCTAAAACTGATATGGTAATTATTGCACAATTCTCACTGATATAATTGAATGATAGAACTATTGAATTGTATGATATGTAAATTATGTGCCAAT